CCCCGGCCCCGGCCGGCCATGCCGCGACCTTGTGGTGAGACAAGACGATGGTTACACCGAGCACCAGCTCTGGGCTTGCCACAGCAGAGGCTTTGGAAATCCAGATCCCTGATCCCAGCTCCAACACCCACCACCCCTGCTGGTGCTCCAATGCCACCTCCAAGCTCCTCTCCTGCCCCACAGGCCTCTGGCTCAGGCTGAAGCTTTTGGTGGCCAAGTAGCAAGAGCATTACCCATTGTAAGCCCATTTTGCCTTGAAATCCAGAGGTTTTCAGCCTATTTCAAATGTAGGATACTCAGGAGCCCAAACATGCCAGGCTAAAGCTACAAGCCAAAGGTGTGGAGGGATCAGGAGCTTCCTAGTAACTGCCTGCTCCCACTCCTGCAAACATGGAGCCAATCCCAAAGGACCATGAGAGCACATCTGGCTGCTGTTCTAACCAAACATCTGTCTGAAACATGAATCACCAACCAGCAATAGCTGCCTCCTTATCTCCTCCTGCTTCACGCTTCTCTGTGTTGAAATGAGAGTTCATTTACCCAAACTGATTCAGTTCCAGATGCTGAATCTGAGTTTATTTTGCAGGGTTCAGACCTCCTCTGTGAGTTTCCCCTGACTGATGATTTTAAGAGTCTCCTGGTCTACACAGGCTCTGCATCATGTCCTTCAGCACGAGGAGATAGCGTAGTCCTCCTCAGTAAGAGTACTTGCTGCCTCCTCACTGTTCCAAGCCACGGGTACAACTTCAGCAGCCATCCCCAGAGCCCCTCTTGGAACACTGGCACAGTCAGGGAGTTGCACTGGGTGTTTTGGGAATTAAAGCCTCCATTTAGCACTATGCTGTGCATGGATTCAACAGAAGGGTTTGGGGCTGCACCACTTGTGTGTTGTAGCCTTAAACAGGACAAAGAATTACAGCTCCCTGCGTGTTATCACCCTTGTGAGCACTAACCTCTGCCTCCGAGTCCTCCACGGCCCATCGCGCCTCGGCCCAGACCTCCTCTTCCAGGGCCACCACGGCCTCGAAGGCCACCTCTCCTCAGGCCCATCCTGGGGGATATCCCTCGTCCTCCACGAAGCAGGCTCTGACCTTTGAGAGAGGGAATTCCAATTGGAAAGCAATCAGTTTTCAGACAGAATCAGAGTCATGCTGTCAAGAACATCACTAATGACAGCCCAGCGGCTCCAGTGCCACATGGATTGGGATCTGACCTCGGAGTGGGATTCCTCCTCGTAGCAGAGCTCTGGCTCCCCGGCCTCCACGCATGGCTCCCCGTGGCAAACCCCTCTGCCCCATGGCCAATCCTCTTCCCCCCATGGCTCCACGAGCGAGGGGCCCTGCTGGTCGGCCCAACCGGGCCTGGATGTTGCTTTTCCCGAGGCGTTGCTTCAAGCTCTTCTGGAATAAAAGATGTGTAAGAAAGGGGAAAAAAGTCATGCAGCAATCTTGGACTTGCCCCACAAACAGCAGAGTCATCACCCAACAGTACAACGGGGATGTTGCTCTGGTGTATTTTATTGCAAGGAAACCAGAGGGTTACCAGCTCTCTGCAATATATAATCAAGCTTCAAAGGCAGACAAATCAAATTTGGTCTGGGAGGGAGAACTGGTGAAGGGCAGAGAGCAAAGACCTATTGTCTGTCCAGAGACAACGTCTGCAAGGAAGCATTTTACTCTCTGGTTCTAGCAGTGCTGCTCAGTCCAAAGCCAGGCAGATCCTTCCCCCACAGGCAGCCCCCTGATCCCTTCTGCTGAGAAGGGACAGTCCAAGCAGATCCCTGCTGCACAGACCCAGCCTCCCTCCACGGAGTGAGTGACATCTGTGCAGCCACACACCGTGGGTATCATTCCCAGTGGCCTATGGCCCCATCCTGTCTTCCATACAAAGTGAACAGCTAGGAAAAGCATCCACTTTTCCATTTATACCACAAGAAGAAAACTATACTGAAGAGATTTACCCTCATCAGCAGAACAGCAGCAGAACAGTCATCAGTGTGTATTTGGCTTTTGGAGTGGGTTCTTCACCAGAATCCATTGCACAGAGCTCCTGTTCCCAAATGCTCACACAGAAGGGCTGCAGACACGGCTCAACTCCTCACCAAGCTGGGCTTTACATCCCAGCCTAGGTAGTTTACATCCCAGTTTAGACAGTCATTCATTTTCCCAGCAGCCTAAACCAGGAGCCTCTCTCTTGTGCCCAGTCTCACCAGCAGAAAGGGAAGAGAAAGCATGGGTATGTTCCATATCCAACTACTCCCTGATGGCACCTACCCTCAGAGCTTGAAGTTACGCTGCTGGACTTTGGGCTGAAACAGCCCCGAGAGGATTGGCCCTTCTGCTCTGCCCCACCTACTAAGTAAAGGCATGTCCAGAACCAGTCAGTATAAATGGGTTTGCATTAAAAAGAGAACACAGGAGGTTTATTTAAACACTTGTGCACTCTGCTGCAAACCACAAACCCAGGAATCTCACACAGCAGTGCTCCACAGAAGCTTAGAATGGTCCCTTCTGAGAGGACCCACATCCCAAAGGATCAGACAAGCTCCTGGTGATAACCCTGCCCACCACTTGTGAAAATCCAATTGCCATATCAACTTCTGGAACCCAGCTTCGAAGAGCAACACAACAGAATCCAGGTTCCCAAATCCCCCCATGGCCCTCCCTTCAGTTCCAAATACCCATGGAAGTACATCTATGCTGAACATAGAAATCAAATGGGTTTAGGAGCCAAGCCAAAAGATCAGTTTCTCCCCGATCCACTTCAGCACAAACTTCACCCTTTCAGTCCAGTTTCACTTATCACTTGTGAGATTCTCAACTTTCCAAACATGCTGTTTTTTCCCAAACCCCTTTCCAGAGCTGTTTCCAGGCTCTGCAAGGCTGCCTGGCACCACCGCCTGTTCTCACAACAGGAGCCTCAAGAGATCTTAAACAGCAGCTGCATTCCTCTTTATCAGAGCGAGATCTGAATGTGGCAGGTTGAAGAATTCCAGCTATGTGGGGAGGCAGCTCAGCTGAGCCATTTCCAAGGCTTCTTCCTCAAGTGGGAGAGAACGTACAGAACTCTCTGTAATCAATTCTGCAGTCAAGCCATGCACTGCTGTTGTCTGAGCTCGCTGCAGAGCTGAGGCATGACCCCACAGGCTTCAATCTCATACAATTACACTGGTTTGGGGTGAAGGGACCTTAAAGCTCTTCCAGCTCCAACCCCTGCCATGGGCAGGGACACCTTCCACTAGAGCAGGCTGTTCCAAGCCCCTGTGTCCAATCTGGCCTTGAACACTGCCAGGGATGGGGCAGCCACAGCTTCTCTCAGCACCCTCACAGCGAAGAGCCTCGGCCTACAGAGCTTCTGCCTCAGAGCTCATCTCAATCTCCCCCTCTGGCAGGTTCAAACCATTCCCCTTGTCCTGTCCCTCCATCCCTTGTCCAAAGCCCCTCTCCAGGTCTCCTGGAGCCCCTTTAGGCACTGGAGCTGCTCTAAGGTGTCTCCTTCAGGAGCCTTCTCTTCTCCAGCTGCCCCAGCCCAGCTCTCTCAGCCTGGCTCCAGAGCAGAGCTGCTCCAGCCCTCGCAGCAGCTCCAGGGCCTCCTCTGGCCTCGCTCCATCAGCCCCACATCCTTCAGTGTTGTGCCCTACACATCCTCCTTAAGCTTCTCTTACCAGCCACCCCCTTTAAACAAGCTTTAACACTCGCCAAACCCCTACAACGAGCAAGCCCTGCACAAAGAGCTCTTCTGGGTGTTACGGTGGTTCCTGCTGTAGCGAGCTCTTGCCCCCCTGCCCCTTCTCTACGTGCGGAGCCGGGGAGGAGCACACTGACTGCAGCAGAGGGATGAGGATATAGCAAGTGTGCTCAGCTCTTCTGCAATACTGCCAGAGGAACACACCATAACGTGTAGTACTCATCACTGAAAGGTGAAATGATAAATACTCTTTATCTAAGGAGAATGCAACCCTGTGCCTTAGATCCAGGCCTGCATTCTAGCATTCACCCCCAAATCGTTTGTTCCTCTGTTCCTCACAGCCAGCTGCTATCGAGGGAGTGCACCAGGAGAGGATGGAGCTGGGATGGGAGCAACCAGCCTCAACTGGCCAGTAAGCACTGGAAAGGACCCGCAGCAGTTGGAACTGCAGCTAGATTGTGAGGTGAAGTACTCGCAGCTCCAGAAACCCAGAATGAGAACACTGCTCTGAAAAAACAGAGAGGAGACATGAACAGCCAGCACAAAACACCCCCAACACCAACCAGTGAGTTACAAAGCATTACTTATCTCAAGTATAAAGTGGAATTTCCTGCAAGTCCCTTCCAGGTCTCCCAGTTGGAACTTCCAGGAACATTCTCCCCAGTCCACCACTATCCTGAAACCCACGTGCTGGTGCCAGGCATGAAGAGGCTGCCCCAGAACCCGTCGCTGTCTCTCACCTGTTTGAGCTTCAAAGCAGCCTGGACAGAAGGTCTGTTCTCCATCTGCTGGGCCAGTCTTCTGTTTCTGGCACTGGCTAGCTGCTGCTGCTGCTGCATGGTAGCCCGAATATTCACTGGCATCGGCTGTTTGTTCTTCAGCATGTTAGTAAAGCTTCAAGGTCGAATAAAATGGGTGTTTAAAGAAAGCTTTTATTACATACATTTATTGGCATTTCATGGTTCTCAAGACTGGATCTCCAGATCCCATGAACCTTATGTAAAGAGTGGTACTTAGGTCACGGCATATGGGATTAGGTATTCCTTGTTTTCCACAAATGTGCAAGAACTGGAAACTCAGAAATGATGCTGCATATTAATTGAGAAGTGAGAAAGCTTTAGGTTACTGAGGTTAGAAATGGCAGAAGGAATGAAAACAAGCAATAAGCAGAGATGGTCGTGATAGATGGGAGAGGACATCACAGGAACAGAAAAGCAAAGTGAAATCTGCCTGCAAAAGCCAAATTCACCCTCAAAGAGCTGAGAAAAGGGGTTAAAAACTCAGTGCCAAAAGGCAGCTTAACAAAGGACATCACCCTGAGGACAGCCTGGTGGCCTCTGGTGCCCCACAGGAGAAATGCCACCACCCGAGTGTGTTTGCTTAGAGAAATAGTTCACTTGGCAATTTCTTTGGGGCACAAAGGATCTTCTCTTTATGATGATACAGGAGCAGCAAGATGGCAAGCTTCCTTAGGAGCAGCCCATCTGCATTCTGCTGGGTCCTGGGAGCTACAAAGCTGTGAAAGAAAACACCTCCAGATGAGGAATATGGACTGAGCAAACCAAAAGGGGCCAGCAAGGCCTCCCCTGCCCCTCATCTTCCCTAGGGTAACTCTGAGCACCAGTTCGGGCTCCACATCCATCTCCCTGTAGCACCTGCAAGAGCAGGGGCAGCACAAACGTGGCTCTGTTTATCCCTGGCTGCATGATACCAACACAGGTAATCCAAGAGTGGTTAGTAAGAAAGTGAAACAGAACTGCGTTGCTGTTAGTTACCACTGTAGAACTGCACAGGACCAAAGGCATGGAAAAACAGAAGAATACTCAACAGAAGAAAGAAAGAAATCAAGGAAAGAGAGAGAAAGAGATGGAGATGAAGCAAAGCATTTGCCTCTTACAAGGCCCAAAACGTTGTTAAAGGGCCTTTGGGCTTGTTCAGTGGCCTGCTGCATGCCTCTTACAGGCCAGACCACATGCACGTGTGTCTGCCTTGGACAAAGCAGCAAGCCTCCTGCAGCTTGGGTAACATGCTACCGTGCTGCAGCGCCGACTATATAAATGTAAAAAACATGTGGAAGAAAAAAAGGGAGGGTGTGAGGTTTCTCTCTTGGGTTATAACACATCCCACCAGATTTACGTGTTGAATGGTTTAATATTAACTGCTATGGATAAAACTGCTCCAAAACACTTGCCCTTTTAACCTTGGGTACCACATCTGTTGCAGTTTAAGACAGAGGTGCATAGCCATCTGCTTGCTTTAGTGAGGTTAAAAGAGGGCAGAAACCACGTTGGTTTTTTGGACACTGGGCAGTGATAACTAAGGAAAACGATTTCTTATGAGCTGAAGCTGCTGTTGGCTTCCTCACCGCTCGTTCAGAGACATCTTGGTGGTGCTCTTTAGCACAACCTTCGGTGCTGACTGTGCAGCCATCTTCAGCTCAAGAGAATCTGCAAAACAGGAGAACCAGCTTCAAACAACAGCCCCAGGATCTCACACCGACTCCACATTAAATAACTACATTCTGGCTGCTTTAGGGGGAGAATCAAGAACGGGGAAAGCAACGTGTTATATTAATGCATTTTCTAGTAGTAAACCCACCACATAGCGGCTTTAACACATCACCAAATCAAACTTACTCCTTCTTAGTAACAAATTGTATCAGTGGCAGGGGCAATGCTGCAAAACTCACCCCCGGCCATCAAACCAGCACCTAAATGCCTCGTTTAGCACAGAATCCAGTGACACTGCCACACTCCCTAAGCTCCAAGCACCAAGATGGAAACCCCGGCTTCTTTTAAGCCAAGTATCGTATCCTCAGCAATAAAACTCCAAGATTACCCCACGGAAGGCCCGAATAGTTTAAAAACATGAAGGTTCCACCCTGCCATTGCGATTGTACCGCTTGGGCCAGGGTTCGACTGAAGTGGGGGGGGGTTTCAGTCCCTAATACTGCTCTAACGCGGCTCTCCAACACAAGAGCTGCCCATGAGAGCAGCGAAGGGATCTAACCGGAGCTGGTCCCGGCCCCGCAGCGCAGCTGCAGCCCGAGTACTTTGCCGGTGATGAACACCCTGAAACGGGCTAAGCTCAAACCCTACAACTATGCACATCCATGGGCCTTGTTTGTTACTAACCCTCAGAATCAGATTTCACTGCGGAAAGCACTCGCCCTCCAAATACCTTGAACAAAACGCTTTCTTTACCAAGTTCTAGCGTAGATCGATT